TTTCACCATTAGGACTGATTTGGTCTTTGATCACAAACATATTTTTTAAAACCTCATGGTCTTAACCCTCTATGAAGAAAATGGTTATTGAGAAGAGGCCGCAGAAAGAACTTTAGACATTTGACCCATATGACCTTGAAAGTAGGTCAAGGTCAACTATTTTCAAAAACTTGATAGCCAATCACCTGACACCTTATATATGAAATATCCGGACCCAAGACGTTGTAGAACTTAAGAAGAAGTTTTTTTAAATGTGTTACCCAATAAAGCACTTTCGAAATGTAACCCCTACCTCAAACCGGAAGTTGACTTTTGACACTTTTTTTATTGCAATCAATAGCAATTGATAGCAGTATGCTACTGACCATATATCATCGACCTATGCCTCTTGGTTATTGAGAAGAAGCCGTATACAGATTTGTAGACATTTGACCCCTATGACATTGAAAGTAGATCAAGGTCAATCATTTTCACAAACTTGATAGCATATTATCTGATCAACTTATATGGTAAATATTAAGACCCAAGACCTTGTAGAACTTAAGAAGAATATTTTTCAAATGTGTTACCAAAAATAGCACTTATGAAATTTAACCCCTGCCGAAAACTGGAAGTTGACGTTTAACACAAAAATGTTTCTAAAGAAAATGTTTTCTTTTGTTAGTGTTTAAAACATATCCAATTTAATATGTTCAGCCATTAATGAGTTATGGTCATTAAGGTAAAAACGGATTAGACGTCATGGCGGCCATTTTGTTTTTTCAAAGAAGTCAAGAACTTAACAAATTTAAAACACTCTCTGGGAAAACTTTTATGCGAAAAATAATTGGAAAAATATCGCAGATATTGGAGAAAATATTATTTTAACATAAAAAAGATCAACAGTGCGAATGGAAAACATTATAGACAAACTGAAGACATCAAATTCATCAAAATGACAAACTGCATCGATTTCAAAAATATTTTTTCAAAAATATTGAAAAAATGAAAAAAGGTTGAAAAATTTGGTGACCTTTGACCCAACATCGAGGATTTTTATTTGACCTTTTTTGTAATAATATTTCATGAAAAAAGTTAGCCCGAAAAATATCTACAAACAACAATTAAATACAAAGTTTTTTTCATTTTTAACAAGACAAGACAAAACATATGACATTGTTCATAAGTACATGATTGTCATACATATTAAACAAAGATCATCATCATCATCATCAGACATCATCATCATCTGAGATCATCATCATCTGACATCATCATCATCTGACATCATCATCATCAAACATCATCATCATCTGACATCATAATCTGACATCATCATCATCTGACATCATCATCATCAGACATCATCATCATCAGACAACATCATCATCAGACATCATCATCATCTGACATCATCATTATCATCATCATCATCATCTGACATCATCATCACCAGACATCATCATCATCATCTGATACCATCATCATCAGACATCATCATCATCAGACAACATCATCATCAGACATCATCATCATCTGACATAATCATCATCTGACATCATCATCATCAGACATCGTAATCATCATCTGACACCATCATCATCAGACATCATCATCATCAGACATCATCATCATCAGACAACATCATCATCAGACATCATCATCATCTGACACAATCATCATCAGACATCATCATCATCAGACATTATCATCATCTGACATCATCATCATCAGACATGATCATCATCAGACATCATCATCATCTGACATCTTCATCATCAGACATCATCATCATCTGACATCATCATCACCTGACATCATCATCATCATCATCATCATCATCTGACATCATCATCATCATCAGACATCATCATCATCTGACACAATCATCATCAGACATCATCATCATCAGACATTATCATCATCTGACATCATCATCATCAGACATCATCATCATCAGACAACATCATCATCAGACATCATCATCATCTGACATAATCATCATCTGACATCATCATCATCAGACATGATCATCATCAGACATCATCATCATCTGACATAATCATCATCTGACATCATCATCATCAGACATCATCATCATCTGCCATCATCATCATCATCTGACATCATCATCATCATCTGACATCATCATCATCAAACATCATCATCATCTGACATCATAATCTGACATCATCATCATCTGACATCATCATCATCATCATCTATCATCATCATCATCAGACATCATCATCATCAGACATCATCATCATCATCATCAGACATCATCATCATCATCATCAGACATCATCATCATCATCTGACACCATGATCATCAGACATCATCATCATCATCTGATACCATCATCATCAGACATCATCATCATCAGACAACATCATCATCAGACATCATCATCATCTGACATCTTCATCATCAGACATCATCATCATCTGACATCATAATCATCAGACATCATCATCATCTGACATCATAATCATCAGACATCATCATCATCTGACATCATCATCATTTGACATCATCATCATCTGACATCATCATCTTAAATTGACATCATCATCTGACATCATCATCATCTGAGATCATCATCATCTGACATCATCATCATCAGACACCATCATCATCATCTGACACCATCATCATCAGACATCATCATCATCATCTGATACCATCATCATCAGACATCATCATCATCAGACATCATCATCATCTGACATCATCATCATCATCAGACATCATCATCATCATCTGATACCATAATCATCAGACATCATCATCATCATCAGACATCAACATCATCAGACATTATCATCATCTGACATCATCATCATCTGACATCATCATCATCATCAGACATCATCATCATCAGACATTATCATCATCTGACATCATCATCATCAGACATCATCATCATCATATCAGATATTATTATTAACACATAAGCAAATAGTAAGCAAAAAATACAAAGGAAACTTGAGACCAAGCTAGGAAGTACATCCGCATATAAAAATAGTTCTAAATAAAATCTGAACCCACATCATAAATATAATTAAATTAACTTTGTATTTAATTGTTGTTTTATGATGTGCGGTTCAGTACCCAGTCATACAGCAAGATTTTATTAAAAGTTCAATAGTCCAATAAAAACCAGTAATACCACAGCATGAATTGAAATACGCCGTTTATTATAAAAACGACGTAAAATAAAACCATGTATACAAAACATGTCGCGTCGTTTCTTCCAAAAACAACTTAAAACACGAACATGTATACACAACATGTAAAACATGCCACATCATACTGATCTGAATACATATAGGCATTATGCCTAATGAAAACAATTATGTGACTATTAAAGGAGGGGGGCAAAACCGCCACCTGGATAATTGAGGAAGACCAGCATACGCTTGTATGTAACCTGGCCTTACTAAATGCAGCCACCTGGATAATTGAGGAAGACAAGCATACGCTTGTATGTAACCTGGCCTTACTAAATGCAGCCACCTGGATAATTGAGGAAGACAAGCATACGCTTGTATGTAACCTGGCCTTACTAAATGCAGCCACCTGGATAATTGAGGAAGACAAGCATACGCTTGTATGTAACCTGGCCTTACTAAATGCAGCCACCTGGATAATTGAGGAAGACCAGCATACGCTTGTATGTAACCTGGCCTTACTAAATGCAGCCAATCCATAATTACAGGACTGCTGTACAATCAACAGTTTTTGAGTTATGGACACTTTAAGATTTGACCTATGACGTCATGGCGGCCATATTGGATTTTTGACTACTTGAAAATGTTGCAATGACACCTTTTAACATTGGCCCACAATATACGTATAAGACTGTTAACACATCTGCTACCAATCAAAAGATTAGGTGGCACTCCCTGTGCGTGGAACATTTGAAAAGTAGGGCACCGGCATCCCCTTTGTTTTTTTGTTTTTTGTTTATTTAAGGATTAACTTGAATATATTTTTCATGTTATGGAGCTATTACACACAAAAAACGGAGTGTACTCTAAATTAAACCGCGAAGCAGTTTATGATGAGAATTCACTCCGGTTTTTTTGTGTTATAGCTCCATAACATGAAAAATATATTCAATTTAATCCTTATAATTTAATCTTCTATACACAATCCCTGTGAAAATCCACTTTTATTGATGGACTCTTTTCTCTTAGAAATTATTGCGCTGCTGTATCAACCAATTAAAAGCGACGTTACAAATGGCGACGTTATTTTTGTACGTTATGGACTGATAACATACTTTTTTAAGCCAATGAAAATGCTTGTCACAAGCAAGATTAAATTATTCTCGAATAACAAATTACCGTCAACCTTTGCCGACATTTTATTTTGTCTATTTTGATCATATTTGGTTTGACCGTGTATTATTTTACAGCACGACTTCCATAAAATCATCGGAAAAAAATGACCAACGTAAATACGCTTTTGATCGGTAGATTTAGTTAATGTCCGATTTCGCTCAAATTATATTTACAATGTACTCGTTTGTGGTTGCTGTGAACTGGTTTCGGAATGGTAGAAAATCAGATGTGTTCCATTTCCGACAAAGAATTGGATATGTAGGTGTGTTATGATACTGCGAATATTTCACGATTTCAAACATTAAAATGAAATCAGTCCTACGCAAGCTTTTAGCAAATATTCACTTTGTTTTAGATGGTCGCATTGTAGTTCAATAGTTGATCATTCATATTGTGTTTAAATTACCAGACTGCAAGCTACATGAAGCTAGTTGTGTGGATCAAACATACAAGAGTAAGTACTATATGTTAAACATTTGTTTTGAAATTTGTCGAAGAGGAGTTATAGACGTTCAGCGCAATGATAAGGAAACACGGGAAGGTGTATGGCAGTGCGTATAACAAACAAGGATACACGTTAACATGTTCCCTTTACTGTGAGTCGGACGTACTCATTGTCACGTGTACAGAATGTCCCGGGGTTATGTACGCTAAAACATGGTAAGGTTATGCTCCAAGATGACTGTAGGGATCGTGACGACTGCTATTTGGATTGACGTTTTTATACCCACTATCCCTTCAGGGCTAAGCCGATATTGTTGGCGATCGTCATCAGAATAACTGTTCTGGGGGTTTAGGATTCACACAACTCAATGGTAAGTGTACTCTGTTCTAGTATATATCCAATTAATTAGGTAGGATTCATAATCACATTATCAGCTTCATGTCCATGTGAGGGTAAACTATTGAATTGTCGTTTTTAGTACGAGGATATTAACTTTTTGACGTTTATGAATGTACCGAGTAGTATTTTGCGTGGACAATGTCCGGACACTAAGATATGTCAGGAATATGAATCAATTACTGGCCGGTGTTACTGTGTCTATAGGCCCTCATGCTACAACAAGTTTTCAAAATGCTGCACATATTGAACTTTTTTTTATGGCAAACGTTTACCTCTCCACCAGACGTAGTGTTGGACATATAAATTTTACTCCTATTTTACTGTATAACAGCCAATCACACTAATGCTGCATTTTGTTATAATCAAACACACGAGACGAACAGCTTGGCTAGTGTTAACCCCAATGTGATCATAATGACTCTCAAATGTCACATATGAAAAATAAATTTTTCGTGCTTAATTTTGCGAACATTTGTCACATGAAGCCTCGTTTTCGTTCACCAACAAGCTGAAGTCACAGCTGATGTCATGATTTCTTGACAATGTAGCTGGAAATAGATACCAATTTAACGTTGATGTGTGTTGAAACGTATCTTTCCTCGAAAAGGTTAATTCGTCTAATAACCGCCACACTGTCCCTTACAATACAGATAGGTTGTTGGTTTGAAAATAATACACGCTCATGTATTATTGTCTTACAAGGTAAGCACAACAACATTCCCTGTCTCCTGCATACACACACGCAAGCACGCATATACTCCACACATGGAGACACGGCCTTAAATGATCATTCCTGTGTGTTATCTGTACATCATACATGTGTCTTATCTGTACATCATACATGTGTCTTATCTGTACATCATACCTGTGTGTTATCTGTACATCATACCTATGTGTTATCTGTACATCATACCCATGTGTTATCTGTACATCATACCTGTGTGTTATCTGTACATCATACCTATGTGTTATCTGTACATCATACCTGTGTGTTATCTGTACATCATACCTGTGTGTTATCTGTACATCATACCTGTGTGTTATCTGTACATCATACCTGTGTGTTATCTGTACATCATACCTGTGTGTTATCTGTACATCATACCTGTGTGTTATCTGTACATCATACCTGTGTGTTATCTGTACATCATACCTGTGTGTTATCTGTACATCATACCTGTGTGTTATCTGTACATCATACCTGTGTGTTATCTGTACATCATACCTGTGTGTTATCTGTACATCATACCTGTGTGTTATCTGTACATCATACCTGTGTGTTATCTGTACATCATACCTGTGTGTTATCTGTACATCATACCTGTGTGTTATCTGTACATCATACCTGTGTGTTATCTGTACATCATACCTGTGTGTTATCTGTACATCATACCTGTGTGTTATCTGTACATCATACCTGTGTGTTATCTGTACATCATACCTGTGTGTTATCTGTACATCATACCTGTGTGTTATCTGTACATCATACCTATGTGTTATCTGTACATCATACCTGTGTGTTATCTGTACATCATACCTGTGTGTTATCTGTACATCATACCTGTGTGTTATCTGTACATCATACCTGTGTGTTATCTGTACATCATACCTGTGTGTTATCTGTACATCATACCTGTGTGTTATCTGTACATCATACCTGTGTGTTATCTGTACATCATACCTGTGTGTTATCTGTACATCATACCTGTGTGTTATCTGTACATCATACCTGTGTGTTATCTGTACATCATACCTGTGTGTTATCTGTACATCATACCTGTGTGTTATCTGTACATCATACCTGTGTGTTATCTGTACATCATACCTGTGTGTTATCTGTACATCATACCTGTGTGTTATCTGTACATCATACCTGTGTGTTATCTGTACATCATACCTGTGTGTTATCTGTACATCATACCTGTGTGTTATCTGTACATCATACCTGTGTGTTATCTGTACATCATACCTGTGTGTTATCTGTACATCATACCTGTGTGTTATCTGTACATCATACCTGTGTGTTATCTGTACATCATACCTGTGTGTTATCTGTACATCATACCTGTGTGTTATCTGTACATCATACCTGTGTGTTATCTGTACATCATACCTGTGTGTTATCTGTACATCATACCTGTGTGTTATCTGTACATCATACCTGTGTGTTATCTGTACATCATACCTGTGTGTTATCTGTACATCATACCTGTGTGTTATCTGTACATCATACCTGTGTGTTATCTGTACATCATACCTGTGTGTTATCTGTACATCATACCTGTGTGTTATCTGTACATCATACCTGTGTGTTATCTGTACATCATACCTGTGTGTTATCTGTACATCATACCTGTGTGTTATCTGTACATCATACCTGTGTGTTATCTGTACATCATACCTGTGTGTTATCTGTACATCATACCTGTGTGTTATCTGTACATCATACCTGTGTGTTATCTGTACATCATACCTGTGTGTTATCTGTACATCATACCTGTGTGTTATCTGTACATCATACCTGTGTGTTATCTGTACATCATACCTATGTGTTATCTGTACATCATACCTGTGTGTTATCTGTACATCATACCTGTGTGTTATCTGTACATCATACCTGTGTGTTATCTGTACATCATACCTGTGTGTTATCTGTACATCATACCTGTGTGTTATCTGTACATCATACCTGTGTGTTATCTGTACATCATACCTGTGTGTTATCTGTACATCATACCTGTGTGTTATCTGTACATCATACCTGTGTGTTATCTGTACATCATACCTGTGTGTTATCTGTACATCATACCTGTGTGTTATCTGTACATCATACCTGTGTGTTATCTGTACATCATACCTGTGTGTTATCTGTACATCATACCTGTGTGTTATCTGTACATCATACCTGTGTGTTATCTGTACATCATACCTGTGTGTTATCTGTACATCATACCTGTGTGTTATCTGTACATCATACCTGTGTGTTATCTGTTCATCATACCTGTGTGTTATCTATACATCATACATGTGTGTTATCTGTACATCATACCTGTGTGTTATCTGTATATCACACCTGTGTGTTATCTGTTCATCATACCTGAGTGTTAACTCTACATCATATATGTGTCTTAGCTGTATATGATACCAATGTTTTACCAGTACCATTGGGTTAAAGCAATTCAATGAGTTAAGGTTTTTATTTTCTGATAATTTGATAAAAAAATTGTATTTGTATATATTTACATTTGCGCTGCGTCCCACTTTATAAACGTAACCAGCAGAAATGCATTTCATTTGAGTATGAAAGCAAAGACTCCCGTGACGTAATACGTGGTGTACTCATGACGTTATAGATAAACCTTGTTCGATGAGAGTCTTGTCGCTTCGCTTCGGATAACATGGAGACTACCCCTGCGTCAAACGCTCAAATGACTACTGTTAATTATTGACGCCAATTTTATTTAATTGAGGCTGTTCCGCCATCCGGCATGACAATTTAAAAACTCCGTTCAATCATTATTTACTGTTATTTTTAAACTGTGACAAATGGTATTTTAAAGAAAAAAGATATATTTGATATTCATTTTATTAAAACAAAATAGTAAAATATTCGAATTATATAATTTTCTATCTTTGATTGTATCGGGAATTTCAATGGTGAGTATGATTTTGTATGTATTATATGTATTATACGGAATTGTTTTATCTTATAAAGACTCAACTTTAATGTTGGATGAGTGCCTTAGTGATGCCCGTCCGTTTAACTCTTAGTATTTATATGTTTACCTGATATGTTCTTGCCACACAGTCAAATTAATCATGTTGATTACTTATCTTGCAGTGCAAGTGAATGAATCCCAGTGTGTTGTTCTCACCGTCATGATGACGTCACTAACAGTTATGGGCGTCGCTGTTATAGTCATCGTCAGTAACGGCGTGCTGGGAATGATAGAAGAAATCAGTATCAATGGAGATGTATTGAACTGTTATGACATGTACCGGCGCTCATCAGACATCAGTCGATCTGTAGGGTATAGCATACATTGGAAATGCATGCAGATGCATATATGGAATCTTTTGGAACAAACAAGTCTAAATATTACTCTCGTAGATCAGCAATGGATAGAGAGCATCACGTCTCTACCGGCTTTAAAAGGAAGAAAAAAACGACAGGTTGAAATGCCTCGAGTGCGTCGAGAATACAGACGTATGAGCAACCAACAGCGGGAAAATTATCACCGTGCTGTGACGTTACTGAAACAAATACCAGTACGTAATATTTATGTCCAACTTGTTTTACAAATGAATTATGTCGGTGACGCAACTTGTGAAGATGGATTATCATTATTATCAAGGATGAAATAATATTCGAAAGGCACGTTTGTAAAATTAGTTTGTCAAATAATTGACACATAAAGTAATTGGCGATGGAAGAACTTATTAATAGTGTGTGAGATAAAAATTTATAGAAAACCTATATAAGTGATATTATATTTTATTTGTATGAAGTCACAACTTATAATAGTGATATTAGTTTTGTATGAGGTCACAACCTATAATATTGATATTAGATTTGTAAAAGGTCACAACCTATAATAGTGATATTAGATTCGTAAAAGGGCACAACCTATAATAGTGATATTATATATGTATGAGGTCACAACCTATAATAGTGATATTATATATGTATGAGGTCACGACCTATAATAGTGATATTAGTTTTGTTTGCGGTCACAACCTATAATAGTGATATTAGATTTGTATGAGGTCACAACCTGTAATAGTGATATTATATATGTATGAGGTCACAACCTATAAAAATGACATTAGATTTGTAAAAGGTCACAACCTATAAAAATGATATTAGATTTGTAAAAGGTCACAACCTATAATAGTGATATTATACATGTATGAGGTCACAACCTATAAAAATGATAAAAATGATATTAGACCTATACACAACCTATAATTTTGATATTATATATTTTTGTAACCCCCCCCCCTTCAGGCCTACGACCCACTGTACTAGAGTTCATTAAGGTTAACCTTGTCTTTAAATGAATATTCTGATGGTGTCGTGTATGACCTTGGTACCTCCAGTGTACTGGGTTACTTAGTAATGTTTGCTCCCAGTTGTATACAGTACAGGTACACAGAACCGACTTCGGAGGTTTTCTCGTGATCCGGGGCATCACATCCGCCGAGATGTGAAAACAGAAGTTCATGTGTGGCTTTGAGCTCTTCAAGTTTGGCTTGCGTAATTCTGACTGACATTTCTAGTGTATTGATATCCAACCCCACAAAATACCAGTATCTGCACAGGACGTTCAGTGTTCTCCTTTACCAATCCCAAGCTCATTACAAGGATGCAGTAACATCTACCAAGGAGTGCTGTAATTATAACTGTTATGTGCCTCAGCAGAATGTCATCGACATAATGAACGATACTAGGGATATTTGTGCGTTGTATTAAAGATTTCTGGAACAAAGAATCCAAAGAGAAGGCAGAGGTCAACAAAATAATTCCCATTAACTTTTAACATAGTTATTTAAATTCCATAGGGTGAACTGATAGCAGCCGAAAAGCTGAATTAATGTCCAACTTTTCCAAAAACAAGAGCACCATCACCTAAACGAGGAATACTGTACCTCACACGAATCAGCATCAATTAAGTCATTGACACTAGAACCTAGGGGATGAGATAGGTGTTGAATTAGTCTCCAGGACCCATTCTTTGGGAGACGAGACCAACTAGTGATATACGCAATGTCACAATGGGCCTGTAATGGAAAGGACAAGTAATTTGGTCAAGAATATACTCCTTCAGCACCTTTTTTGCAGCTTCGTTTTCATGCTCGTGGATTGATAGACAGAAGGAACCCTAGGATCAGAATAGTGCACACGAAAAGTATAAATTCCTTCGGCCACAGCATGGTGAGGGTATCCCTCCAGCAAGTAATTCTTCAAGTGAAATGATATTAGTGACTGAGTGATTGCTATTCAACCGTGATTTTTGAGTGGAGATTTGAAAAGAGTCAGAACCAGGTCAAAACTTGCTAGAGTAAGGTTGTATTGCCCTGGTACAAAGTTTACACTTGGATTCCTGCCAGAGCAAAGAACTGGACTGTAAGCACAGTTTCTTACAAGCTTACAATCATAACACTAGCTGTGAAATTTTCATAATCACACGTACTTCAGAATATAGATCCGATTCAAAGACATAATTGACTCACGGGAAGACACTGACATGAGACCAGACGACTTTAGGACTATATGAAGCACATTGATGTGGACTGATGCGTTGTTAGTGTACCAACTTCACATGCGTATATCACGTGCTTACACCAGTAACTCGTTACGATTTTCGCTGTCGTGCGAGTTACGCTCGGTCGAGTAAATCTTTTTTAACTCGTCTATTCGAAAAATAGGGGGGCTATAGCAGTACCCACGGCATCGGCGTTCAACTTTGTTAAAGTATTTGGGCAAGCTGTGTTTTGGAGTTTAACTCAACTTTTAATTAATTTTACGTTGTAATAGGGTTACAGCAATTGCTTGGAGGTTCTTTAGTTACAAATTGGACCATATTTGCTAATTTTTGGTCCAAAACACAAGTCTTTTGGAATTGGTTAAAGTTTTAGGGCAAATTCTAGTTCTTTTGAAACTCCTGGCAGATTTCAACCAAATTTGGCAGGAAGCATCGTTAGGGGAACGGGATTCAAGATTGTACAAATGAATTCCCTGACTCCTCAGGGGACAGGTGGGCGGGGCCAAAAGGGGTAAATTGGACAGTATGCCTTTAACAATATCTCCTCCTACACTATTTGGCCGATTCAACGAAATTTAACAGGGAACATCTTTAGGGCAAGGGGGTTCAAGATTTTACAACTAAAGTCCCTGACCCCCAGGGGGGGGGGGGGGGGGGGGGGGGGGGGGAAGACGGTATAACTTTAAATGATATCTCCTCCAAATTAGGAACTTGAAACTTTGAGACATGGTAGATTTATGTATGGAGAAGTGCACAACACTTTCGGATTATTAGCTCACATGGCCCGTTGTCCGTCCGGTCCGTCCGGCGTCCGGCGTCCGTCCGGCGTCAACTTTTTACATTAAACAACTTCCTCTGAATAACCAAGAGGCCCAGGCTGATGATATTTGGCCAGTAGCATGCTGTGATGAAGGGCTACCAAGTTTGTTCAACTGAATGACCTTGACCCACTTAAGGTAAAAGTGGTCAAATCTCTTAAAATCTTCAAACCACTTCTTCTCAATAACCAAAAGGCCCAGGGTACTGATATTGGGCCTGTAGCATGCTGGGATGAAGGACTACCAAGTTTGTTCAAATGAATGACCTTGACACATTTCAAGGTCACAGGTATCAAATGTAAAATCTTCAAACGACTTCTTCTCAATAACCAAAAGGCCCAGGGTTTTGATATTGAGCCTGTAGCATGTTGGTATAAAGGGCTACCAAGTTTGTTCAAATGAATGACCTTGACACGCTTTCTAGGTCACAGGTGTCAAATGTCGTAAAATCTGCAAACGACTTCTTCTAAATAACCAAAAGGCCCAGGGTATTGTTATTGGGGCTGTAGCATGTTGGGATGAAGGAGTACCAAGTTTGTTCAACTGAATGACCTTGATCCACTTTCAAGGTCACAGGGGTCAAATTTCTTAAAATCTTCAAACCACTTCTTCTCAATAACCAAAAGACCCAGGGTACTGATATTGGGCCTGTAGCATGCTGGGATGAAGGACTACTAAGTTTTTTCAAATGAATGAACTTGACACATTTCAAGGTCACAGGTGTCAAATGTAAAATCTTCAAACGACTTCTTCTCAATAACCAAAAGGCCCAGGGTTTTGATATTGAGCCTGTAGCATGTTGGTATGTCAAATGTCTTAAAATCTTCGAACCACTTTTTCTCAATAACCAAAAGGCCCAGGGTACTGAAATTGGGCCTGTAGCATGGTGGGATGAAGGACTACCAAGTTTGTTCAAATGAATGACCTTGACCCACTTTCAACCTTGTCCTTGTTCGACATTCAAGGTCACAGGCGTGATATGTTTAAATCTTTTAATAGGTTCATATGAATCAAACATTGATATTCTGCCTGTGGCTGTATTTTAGTCCACTTTCAAGATTACAAGTGTGAGATTAATACCAGGTGAGCGATGCAGGCCCATTGGGCCTCTTGTTTATATGACCCCAAGGGGTCGGGCCTCTGAAGGGGGGGGGGGGGGGTTATGGGGATCAAATATTGAAAAAAATAAAAGAGTCTTATAGCATATCAAATTTAGCATTAACATGAGTTCTACATTTTAAAGCAATTTATTTGAACATATGGTGTAAGGGGGGATACTTGAGGGATAAGGGGTAAAATAAAAATTTCTACACTGTTTGAAGCAGGAACTTTCAGAATTTTGATTTGACCCCTAGGGACCGGGCCAGAGGGGTGGAGTCATAGGGGTCATATTTTTTTGATATAGTCTTTTAGCATATCAAATCAGACATAACCATGAGTTCTACATTTAACAGTAATTTATATTTGCATATGGTGATCGTGGGTGTGTGGGTGTGTGTTAGGGGTTACTTTGGGGGGATAGTGGGAGTGTACATCGACAATGTAGTTCTACTTTCCTGATCTGTTATCTAAGATGGGACACACTGTAATGGCCCAATTACTATTAGCACTTTTTACAAAAATAATTTTAATAGACGAGCTATGCTGTTCTCCTACAGCTCTTGTTTTAGACGCAGAACACTGACCCTGTTGAAATAGTGTTTTGTAAAAAATATTAAGATCCCTTTGAAAATGTATTTGTGGGTGGACTTGAGAACGACATACCATGCGATAGCCTCTGGTTACATATGTACCTGACATGTAATTATGCCATGCCCTAGCGGGCTGTGGAATGTCCAAAGTGTACATGATTGAGAGTAATTTGGTTCCATAAAAAAAACTAATAAAATTGTCACTTTTGATATCATAATTTTAATTGATTATCATCATTGATATTTTAAAGAGATAACTGTCATCGTGTAAATTTGATCCCTTTGCGAATTATCAAGCCATTTTATACTATTTTTTTGTATGAAACTTTGTGTCCTGTTTGCTTTTACCTTATAGATTATTACTTTAATAACACAATTTCAATAAAAACACTTTGTGTAACGGGTTTTATATATTTTGTGATAAATAAAATATTTGTAGGATTAATGTGTGTTTTTACTTCAGATAGCAAACACCACTCGATATGACTTCATAGCCAACATCCACCGAGGGGATGCTATCCCACTAGCTCATAGAGGACCAAACTTCCTCGGCTGGCACCGAGTCTATCTTATAATGTAAGTACTACTTATATCAATAATACTATACAACCTTTATTTAGCGCCCTATATAATTTGTAAAATTACTCTAAAACGCTTTACAGCATATGGATAATAGTATTAGTTATAATTGTGAAACAAAAGCAAAGGCTTACAATCACTTTTATGCATTTAAGCAAGCAGATAAGCAAGCAATGTTCACATAAAGGAACAAATAAAGGGTCCGTGCTATCTCCACTGATCTATGATTTCTTCACTGATCCGTGATATCTCCACTGATCATTGATATTTCGACTGATCCGTGGTATTTCCACTGATCCGTGATATCTCCACTGATACCGTGATATCTCCACTAATACCGCGATATCTTCACTAATACCGTGATATCTCCACTGATCCGTGATATATCTACTGATACCGTGATATCTCTACTGATACCGTGATATCTCCACTAATACCGAGATATCTCCACTAATACCGTGATATCTCCACTGATCCGTGATATCTCTACTGATACCGTGATATCTCCACTGATCTATGATTTCTTCACTGATCCGTGATTTCTCCACTGATCCGTGATATTTCGACTGATCCGTGGTATTTCCACTGATCCGTGATATCTCCACTATTACCGTGATATCTCCACTAATACCGTGATATCTCCACTAATACCGTGATATCTCTACTATTACCGTGATATCTCCACTGATCCGTAATATCTCCACTGATATGGTGATATCTCCACTGATCCGTGATATCTCTACTATTACCGTGATATCTCTATGGATAATAGTATTTCTCCACTGATCCGTGATATCTCCACTGATATGGTGATATCTCCACTGATACCGTGATATCTCCATTGATCCGTGATATCTCCACTGAACCGTGATATATCCACTGATATGGTGATATCTCCACTGATCCTTGATATCTCCACTGATCTGTGATATCTCAGCTGATCTGTGATATCACCATTGATCCATGATATCTCCATTGATCCGTGGTATCTCCACTGAACCGTGATATATCCACTGATACCGTGATATCTCCACTGATCCGTGATATCTCCACTGATATGGTGATATCTCCACTGATCCGTGATATCTCCACTGATCTGTGATATCTCCGCTGATATGTGATATCACCATTAATCCATGATATCTCCATTGATCCGTGATATCTCCACTGATCCGTGATATATCCAATGATTCGTAGTATCTCCACTGATCCATGATATTTCAACTGATCCATGATATCTCCACTGATCTGTGGTATATCCACTAATCCATGATATATCTACTGATACCGTGATATCTTCACTAATTCGTGATATCTACACTGATCCCCGATATACCCACTGATCCGCGACATCTCCACTGATTCGTGTTATATCCTCTGATCCGGGATATCTCCATTGAACCGTGATATCTCCACTGATCCGTGATATCTTAACTCAAACCGTGATATTTCCAATGATCCGTGATAACTCTACTATTACCGTGATATATCCACTGATACCGTGATATCTCCACTGATCCGTGATATCTCCACTGATCCGTGGTATCTCCACTAATACCGTTATATCTCCACTAATACCGCGATATATCTACTGATACCGCGATATTTCAACTGATATCGTGATATTTCCACTTATTCACCGATTCGTTGTATCTCCACTGATCCACGATGTCTCCACTGATACCGCCGTATCTCCACTGATCCATTGATCCACTGATTCGTGGAATCCCCTACGAAACGGTGATATATCCACTGATCCGTGATATCTCCACTGATCCGTGATATCTCCACTGAAACCGTGATATCTCCACTGAAACCGTGATATCTCCACTGATACCGTGATATCTCCACTAATACCGTGATATCTCAACTGATCCGTGGTATTTCCACTGATCCGTGATATCTCCACTGATCCGTGATATATCCACTGATCCGTGATATATACAATGATTCGTAGTATCTCCACTGATATTGTTATATATCCACTATTACCGTGGTAACTCCACTGATACCGTGATATCTCCACTAATACCGTGATATCTCAACTGATCCGTGGTATTTCCACTGATCCGTGATATCTCCACTGATCCGTGATATATCCACTGATCCGTGATATATCCAATGATTCGTAGTATCTCCACTGATATTGTTATATATCCACTATTACCGTGGTATCTCCACTGATACCGTGATATATCCACTAATACCGTGGTAACTCCACTGATCCGTGATATATCCAATGATTCGTAGTATCTCCACTGATATTGTTATATATCCACTAATACCGTGATATCTCCACTAATACCGCGATAACTCCACTGATACCGTGATATCTCCACTAATACCGTGATATCTCCACTTATACCGTGATATATCCACTAATACCGTGGTAACTCCACTGATACCGTGATATATCCACTAATACCGTGATATATCCACTGATACCGTGGTAACTCCACTATTACCGTGATATCTCCACTGATACCGTGATATATCCACTGATCCGTGATATATCAAATGATTCGTAGTATCTCCACTGATATTGTTATATATCCACTAATACCGTGATATCTCCACTATTACCGTGGTAACTCCACTGATACCGTGATATCTCCACTAATACCGTGATATCTCCACTTATACCGTGATATATCCACTAATACCGTGGTAACTCCACTGATACCGTGATATATCCACTAATACCGTGATATCTCCACTGATCCGTGATATCTCCACTAATACCGTGATAAATCCACTGATACCGTGGTAACTCCACTATTACCGTGATATCTCCACTGATACCGTGATATATCCACTGATACCGTGATATCTCCACTGATACCGTGATATCTCCACTAATACCGTGATATATCCACTGATACCGTGGTAACTCCACTGATACCGTGATATCTCCACTAATACCGTGATATATCCACTGATACCGTGATATCTCCACTGATACCGTGATATCTCCACTAATACCGTGATATATCCACTGATACCGTGATATCTCCACTGATACCGTGATATCTCCACTAATACCGTGATATATCCACTGATACCGTGATATCTCCACTGATACCGTGATATCTCCACTAATACCGTGATATATCCACTGATACCGTGATATCTCCACTGATACCGTGATATCTCCACTAATACCGTGATATATCCACTGATACCGTGATATCTCCACTGATACCGTGATATCTCCACTAATACCGTGATATATCCACTGATACCATGATATATCCACTGATACCGTGATATATCCACTGTTACAGGTTTATCTTGTTTTACTGTATAATTATTCGAGAAACCGGGTAGCAATAAAAGTAAAATGATCCAAAACTAAATTATATAAAAGTGTCCTTGAAACATTTAAAAAGGAACCAAATAAGTACTGGTAATATTTATGACAACTGGTTCCTTCAAAAATAAATAACTAACCAAACTGTATATTTCTTTATGTTGAACAAAGAGATGAGCAAATAATTTAACTGCGAGTTTACCAATGTTGTCATAGAGTATATCTCTGAAACAGGACCAGACAGTCCAACTAGCCCTCTTGATGAAATTCAAATATTTGTCTCTCGAACTCTCCCTGCAAACACAGTCTATGGTATTCTATAAATACCATTTACTTTTGTTCATCAATTTCTGGACATTCTTGTTTGCACCAAAGCTACTGGCCTTTATGGAATTTCAGCAAAATGTCAAGGACTGTCAGCAGATGTGGAATCAGAATCAGTAACCAAGTAACTGAATATGTGTATTTAAATGAGTGTTTTCTCTGACCAGTTCAATCATGCCAAAGTGAAACCCTATTTTCAAAAAAGGTGAGAAAACTTCTGTCAGTAATTATTGACCCATATCTATTCTTTGACTTTTATCTAAACTTCTAGAACTACACTTAACCCGTTCTTAAACACTTTTCATTTGTTCATTGTAAGCCAGTCTTGATTTTGAAATATACACTCTTGTCAGCCTGCTCCTACTGCACTTACACACGAATGGTATGGTTACTGGACAAGGGAAACCCTACTGGTGTGATGTATACCGATTTCCGTAAAGCCTTTTATCGTCTAGACCATACAATTCTACTGCAAACAATGGGAATGTGTGGGTGTTCCAAACATGCTATCTAATGTTTTACTTCTTACCTTTAAAATAGATTTTTAAAAGTGTCTTTTAAAAATTCACCGAGTCATTTTCATGAAATCACAACTGGTGTCCCTCAGAATTCTATTTTTGGGTCATTGATGCTCTTAATTAATGTCAATGCTTTGCCACTTTGCTATAAACATTGTCAGTTGTATATTGATTTAGATAATACTACCATGCAGAAAGCACACAAAAACATAAATGCCATCGAATCATACCTACAGAACGATTTTATACAAGTTCGAAAATGGTGTGCTGGGAATAAAATGGCTATCAATAATGAGAAAACCAAAGGCATGTTAATTAGAAGTAAGCTGTGAAAACAATGGCTTACAAAAGGTCTTACTAGTGTAGCTGATAACTCAACCCTTAAGAATGACAAGCTGATGGAGTATGTATTGATGACACCCTAACTTGGGATAAACATGTACAAGATGTGCCTAATTTTATAAATCAACTATGTAGGATTACAAAATTTCTCCCAGTGTGAGTCAGAATTACATTTCATCATGGTTTTATTCTACCATGCATTGATTTTTGTTCAAACATTTGGAACATTTCTCCAACAAATTTATTTAGAATCAACTTAGATGTGGAATATAGTGTTTCCAGTGCCGATCATTTGTCAGACCAAAATGGTTGTCTACAGAGTAGAACATAGTGATTTTGTGTTAATGTTTAAAATTATAAACAAATTGTGTCCAAAAAACCTAAATTGTAACACTCTTGTGTTCACGCAATTCGAATTTTACTTCTTACCTTTAAAATAGATTTTTAAAACAAACACAAACCAGGTCAGCTACAACAGACAGAAGTGTCGTACTCAAACACAAACCAGATCAGCTATAACAGACAGATGTGTCTTACCCAAACACAGACCAGATCAACTATAACAGACAGATATGTCTTATCCAAACACAAACCAGATCAGCTATAACAGACAGTTGTGTCTTACCCAAACACAAACCAGGTCAGCTACAACAGACAGAAATGTCGTACCCAAACACAAGCAAGGTCAGCTATAACAGACAGATATGTCTTATCCAAACACAAACCAGATCAGCTATAACAGGCAGATATGTCGTACCCAACCACAAACCAGATCAGCTATAACAGACAGTTGTGTCTTACCCAAACACAAACCAGATCAACTATAACGGACAGATGTGTCGTACCCAAACACAAACCAGATGAGCAATAACAGACAGATGTGTCGGACCCAAACACAAACCAGTTCAGCTATAACAGACAGATGTGTTGTACCCAAACAAACCAGATCAGCTATACCAGACAGATATGTCTTATCCAAACACAAACCAGATCAACTATAACAGACAGATGTGTTGTACCCAAACACAAACCAGATCAGCTATAACAGACAGATATGTCTTTTCCAAACACAAACCAGATCAACTATAACAGACAGATGTGTCGTACCCAAACACAAACCAGTTCAGCTATAACAGACAGATATGTCATACCCAAACACAAACCAGATCAGCTATAACAGACCGATATGTCTTATCCAAACACAAACCAGATCAACTATAACAGACAGATATGTCTTTTCCAAACACAAACCAGATCAACTATAACAGACAGATATGTCGTACCCAAACACAAACCAGTTCAGCTATTACAGACAGATGTGTCTTACCCAAACACAAACCAGATTAGCTATAACAGACAGATGTGTCTTACCCAAACACAAACCAGACTAGCTATAACAGACAGATGTATCGTACCCAAACACAAACCAGTTCAGCTATAACAGACAGATGTGTCTTACCCAAACACAAACCAGATTAGCTATAACAGACAGATGTATCGTACCCAAACACAAACCAGTTCAGCTATAACAGACAGATGTGTTGTACCCAAACACAAACCAGTTCTGCTATAACAGACAGATATGTCGTACCCAAACACAAACCAGGTCAGCTATAACAGAGCGATTTGTTGTACCCAAACACAAACCAGTTCAGCTATACCAGATATGTCTTATCCAAACACAAACCAGATCAACTATAACAGGCAGATATGTCGTACCCAAACACAAACCAGGTCAGCTATAACAGAGCGATGTGTTGTACCCAAACACAAACCAGTTCAGCTATACAGACAGATTTGTCGTACTCAAACACAAACCAGATCAGCTATAACAGACAGATGTGTCGTACCCAAACACAAACCAGTTCAGCTATAACAGACAGATGTGTTGTACCCAAACACAAACCAGGTCAGATATAACAGGCAGATATGTCGTACCCAAACACAAACCAGATCAGCTATTACAGGCAGATATGTCGTACCCAAACACAAACCAGGTCAGCTATAACAGGCAGATATGTTGTACCCAAACACAAACCAGATCAGCTATAACAGAGAAATGTGTCTTACCCAAACACAAACCAGATTAGCTATAACAGGCAGATATGTCCACTCAAACACAAACCAGGTCAGCTATAACAGAGAAATGTGTCTTACCCAAACACAAACCAGATCAGCTATTACAGACAGATATGTCGTACCCAAACACAAACCAGGTCAGATATAACAGGCAGATATGTCGTACCCAAACACAAACCAGGTCAGCTATAACAGGCAGATATGTCGTACCCAAACACAAACCAGGACAGCTATAACAGGCAGATATGTTGTACCCAAACACAAACCAGATCAGCTATAACAGGCAGATATGTCTTACCCAAACACAAACCAGATTAGCTATAACAGGCAGATATGTCGTACCGAAAAACACAAACCAGATTAGCTATAACAGACAGATATGTCGTACCGAAAAACACAAACCAGATCAGCTATAACAGACAGATGTGTCTTACCCAAACACAAACCAGATCAGCTATAACATACAGATATGTCGTACCCAAACACAAACCAGTTCAGCTATAACAGACAGATATGTCGTACCGAAAAACACAAACCAGATCAGCTATAACATACAGATATGTCGTACCCAAACACAAACCAGTTCAGCTATAACAGGCAGATATGTCGTACCCAAACACAAAACGGAACATTAAAAACTGGTGACAAAATTAGGTTTAATTACACTCTAAAATATAAAAATATGTTCTGCTATATCTTTTTGGGCCTTAGCTCATGCTTAATTAGCATTATTCGTTCAGTTTTTACAATTTGCCATATTAACATAAGTGTAAATTAGACACAATATGTTGTTTCTTAGTTTCTAAAGTGCAATATGAGAATGTATGCTTTGCATGACATTTAGTCAACTCACTTATTTTATAATTACACAAGTGACAGATTCTCGACTTTCCAAACCTGTGGTACTATATTTTTACCTGTGATACTATATTCTTACCTGTGGTACTATATTCTTACCTGTGGTACTATATTCTTACCTGTGGTACTATATTCTTACCTGTGGTACTATATTCTTACCTGTGGTACTATATTCTTACCTGTGGTACTATATTCTTACCTGTGGTACTATATTCTTACCTGTGGTACTATATTCTTACCTGTGGTACTATATTCTTACCTGTGGTACTATATTCTTACCTGTGGTACTATATTCTTACCTGTGGTACTATATTCTTACCTGTGGTACTATATTCTTACCTGTGGTACTATATTCTTACCTGTGGTACTATATTCTTACCTGTGGTACTATATTCTTACCTGTGGTACTATATTCTTACCTGTGGTACTATATTCTTACCTGTGGTACTATATTCTTACCTGTGGTACTATATTCTTACCTGTGGTACTATATTCTTACCTGTGGTACTATATTCTTACCTGTGGTACTATATTCTTACCTGTGGTACTATATTCTTACCTGTGGTACTATATTCTTACCTGTGATACTGTATTCTTACCTGTGGTACTATATTCTTACCTGTGGTACTATATTCTTACCTGTGGTACTATATTCTTACCTGTGGTACTATATTCTTACCTGTGGTACTATATTCTTACCTGTGGTACTATATTCTTACCTGTGGTACTATATTCTTACCTGTGGTACTATATTCTTACCTGTGGTACTATATTCTTACCTGTGGTACTATATTCTTACCTGTGGTACTATATTCTTACCTGTGGTACTATATTCTTACCTGTGGTACTATATTCTTACCTGTGATACTGTATTCTTACCTGTGGTACTATATTCTTACCTGTGATACTATATTCTTATCTGTGGTACTATATTCTTACCTGTGGTACTATATTCTTACCTGTGGTACTATATTCTTACATGTCGTACTATATTCTTACCTGTGATACTATATTCTTACCTGTGATACTATATTCTTACCTGTGGTACTATATTCTTACCTGTGATACTGTATTTTACCTGTGATACTATATTCTTACCTGTGGTACTGTATTCTTACCTGTGGTACTATATTCTTGCCTGTGATACTGTATTCTTACCTGTGGTACTATATTCTTACCTGTGATACTGTATTGTTACATGTCGTACTATATTCTTACCTGTGATACTGTATTCTTACCTGTGATACTATATTCTTACCTGTGGTACTATATTCTTACCTGTGGTACTATATTCTTACCTGTGAAACTGTATTCTTACCTGTGATACTGTATTCTTACCTGTGGTACTATATTCTTACCTGTCGTACTATATTCTTACCTGTGGTACTATATTCTTACCTGTGATATGCTTCTATCTTAACCTAGTGTATGGTATGTGTGTATGTGTGCTATGTATCACATGTTATGTCGGTGTCCAGATTTAATCCATCGTGACTCTCGAGATAGCTCAAAATGTTTGCACCTACCTGACGTGTCTCAGAGGTCGTTATGCTGTCTATAACGTGGATGTTACTACACATATCTCATCGTGTCCCTAAATGTACACCTATAAAATACTGATATGGGCACAAGAGAAGTGGATAATCACTACCGGAAATATCTGCGATTATTGAGGACCACGAACTGATATCCTCGTACCATGCCAAAACCTTAACCAGGTTGTCTAAATGAAATTACTTTAGCGGTGTATCAGTTTTTGTATACTGAATACTTTTCATAGATAACCCACTCGGTCAGAAGCGAATTTATTCAACAAATACCCTGCAGATCACACACACACACATACACACACACACAAACACACACGCACACCCACATATATGTGTATATGAACCAAAAGAAAGAAATTTGGTATGTGTACATTTTCAGTAAGTTCCCACCCTCAACCTCCTAAATGTATTACACCTAACTGACCCTGGTCTAAAAATACTTCCCCTGCTCTTCACAACGACGTGACGCTGGCTCTTAACAAAAATGACCGCTTCGTAAATTTTAAGAAACAAACCAGGACCGAACCTGTTCCTGCATTGCTTCTAACTGAAAATTATTTTATTTTTGTTTGTATATTTGAAGATACGAGAATGCTCTACGACAAGTGGTGCCAGGTGTTACCATCCCGTACTGGGCTTCATCCTTAGACAACGAACTTGATGCCAATGAGCGGACACACTCAGTCATTTGGTCGGATCTTTTTCTTGGAAACGGGGACGGATTCGTCACTTCCGGTCCCTATGCTAATTGGCAGACACAAAGTGGACCACTAATTAGAAACATAGGCTTAATAGGAGAACTCTTCAGCATTGATAGAATCGCAAGAATTCTTAACATGACAAGAACGTCCGAAATAACATTCCCGAGCGGAGCTCCAGAAAACAGACTGGAGGATGTTCACGACAGTGTTCATGTATGGGTAGGAGGAGGAAACGGGCAGATGAATGACCTCAATACTGCCGCCCAGGACCCAGCCTTCTTCAGCCATCATGCATTCGTGGACTACCTTTGGGAGGAGTTCCGACAGCGACAGATCCAGCTAGGAATCGACCCGTCTCTGGACTATCCGGCCCAGTTTGGTTCGCCTCAGCACGCCCCACTAGCCCCCATGCGATTTGGAAATCTGAGGAATATTGATGGCTACAGTAACTTGATAACATCAAATATATATCAATACGAGGCATCACCAACGTGTCGGAGACAGCGGCCTACATGTGGATCAGATTTCCTACGCTGTGACACCAACAGGGCGATGCCGCGCTGTATCACGCTACGGATAGACGAGGCGCGTGCCAATGGTGCGAGGTTCAAACGTCAGACGTCTTTTCAGATGGTCGGAAGCAAAACGACATGTTCTGGGCAGAGTTACCAGCGAGCTGTACAGAACCGGTATCTGTGTAGTAATCAGTCAGATATCCGGGAGTGGTCGTATATTCCCGTAGATGTAGTATATCGACGTCCGCCGGAGTTCACGCGCTACCAATCCTACCCCGTGTTTAACGGGCAAGGGATGGTCAACAGTGACATATACTCGCCTACATCCTATGTTGGGCTCGCATCTTCTCTTCCAATAGGAAACCCTGCCAAGTACAGCGAATGCATCGATCCATACAAAAACGCTGGCAAAATTTTTATTGAGTCCAATGGCCTTAATCATTATGGATCGTACAGTGAATTTGTCATGGTAGACAACCGTCTTGCAATCTCAAAAGCAACTGGTTACGTTGCTGTGAAATCGCCCGATTCCGGAATGACTGACGTGCACGTGTCCGCCCATGACTCATGCGGACGTGTGTGTCGCCCGTACTGTCGGACACCCGGCTCACCACTAAACGACTTCCATCCATGCACGGGGGCCATACGAATTACGACTAGCGCCCCGAAACTGTACGGCAGAACATATGGGGAGTTAATTCTTGACACTTGGCAGTTTCCTCAAGACGGAAACTGTCCGAGAACTGACGATAACTACGCCCATCTCCGCTTCTACTGTGACTATACAAACCAATGGCCGTGGGCGGATGTCCGCCGGACAGTAAATCCTGTGAGTGTGGCCCCCTCTCTTGCAATCGGCGTCACCAAATCTCCCAAGGTCCAGGTCGTTGACAGTGGAGAACCAGCTATACAAGGTACGTTATAGTTCTGCCTTAAAGCGACATCACTGTGAAGTGTATATTTTTGGGGGGCTTTTTTTTCAAATACTACATAAACATATCAAGTGAGTCTCCTTATGGAAAATAACGGTCGGATTTGGCTGATATATATTCATAATATTGAATAATTTTAAGATAATTATCGGGATTTCTATATCTGTCTGACCAACGTTTTATCAAGGATTTCCCTACTACAACGCATGCGCATAGCACGCCATTTCATTGTTAACATTATTACTAGCCCTGGAAAGTGTTTGTGAGTGGAAACTGTTACGGCGTCAGCTACGAAGCGAAAAGTTGCCAAATGGTCAAAAGATAGCGCAAGGATTACGTTACGGAATCATTATTGCAGTATTCAAAGGAGAAAATAACTGCCCTAGCAGTTAGTACGGTGCATGTTTTCTTCCGGATAGCCGGTTAAAGCTGAAATGGAATCGACAAATATGCTGTTTATGTTATGAATAAATATCAAAACTCGCTAGTATCTTTGTCTGAGTTGGAACACAGATGAACTTATTTTGTTATGCTAATGGGCATGTATCGGAGAGAGTTTACTTTGGGTTTCTATAAACAGTAGTTTATGCCAAAGGAAGGGATAAGTGACTGGTTAGTTTGATTTTGCTATGAGGCCCTCCAGGGGATAACTGTTGTGATGGCCACGGCGTATTCTGTTCTCTCCTCTGTCGGTACTCGGTGTCAAATGAGATACGTGCGCTATTAGATTTACATAATTTATAATAATCCCGGGTTCATTAAAATGATATGATTTAAATATCTTGTTGGAGCATCCTTAGGCCCACCCTCGGTATCCAGGGGTTACGCTCACCTTCGCTCTCTACACCCCCTGGAATATGTCATAGCAAAATTGAAGGCACAAAGATAGCTGTTTACTTGGTCTCAGGTAAAACAAACTGACCAATCGCTAGACTGATACCTGTTCTTTGAAGATTACAAAGGAGGGACGCCCGACTACAAAGCTTGTCAATTTTTACCGTTACGTCACCGCGAGATTCTTTTGATATATATCAAAAGTTCGAACAAGTCTTCTTGTCTCATCAACAAGGTGGCACACACCGAGCCTTAAATTTTACTATAATCCTTCTTCTACCGCAGGGACTTATGGATTTTACCCAAATTAGTCTGGAACATCCTTGGGCCAAGGGGACTCAACTTTGTATAAACAATGGGTGTGGCCCCCCTGGGGGCAGAGGGGCGGAGCCCAATATGAGAAATAAATTTAAATCTTTAAAATCCTTCTTCTACCATATGGATTAAGGGATTTCATCCCAATTTGGACTTGAGCATCTTTTGGCAAAGGGGTCTAAACTTTGTATAAACAGTGAGTGTGGTCCCCCTGGGGGCAAAGGGGTGGGCCCAATAGGGGAAATATAGCAAATTCTTCAAAATCCTTCTTCTTTTGTAGGAATGACATATTTTTGTCAAAATTTAGTATGAAGCACCCTTGGGTGAAGGGGAACCAGTTTTGTATAAACGGTAGGTCTGACCCCCCAGAGGGAAGAGAGGCGGGGCCCAATAGGGGATATAGAGGAAAAGCTTTAATATCCTTTTTCTCTGTTGGGATGAAGGTATTTTAACCTAATTTAAACAGTAGCATCCTATAGGAAAGGAAAATCATTTTTGTATTAATGGTAGGTCTAAACCCCCTGGGGGCAGAGGGGCAGGGCAAAATAGGGAAAATATATATATAAAAAAAGACTTAAAAGCTTTAAAAGCTTTTCTTTTTCTGTAGGAATGACAGGATTTTGTCCATATTTGGTCTAAAGCATCCTTGGGTGAAGGGGACTTAATTGTGTATCAACCGTGGGTCTGACCCCCATTTGGGGCAGAGGGGCGGGGCCCAATAGGGGAAACGAAGCAACTTCTTCCAAATCCTCCTTTTCCTGTTGGAATGACAGGATTTTGTCCAATTGCATATAAATATAACCCCTGACTTACCATGTAATACATGTACACTACCCGCAACATCTGGCTGTTTCAACTTCAATTTTGCTAACATTTACAGGTGAGTGATACAGGCCCTCTGGGCCTCTTGTTTTTATGTACATGCAAGATTTAAATATGTCAAAATGACGGTTCAGGATGAATAACTGAGGAAGGAGACCATACTTATAGTAAATAGGATCGCATAACAAAAAAATGTTTTAAATCGTAATGTTTCAACAGTTCATGTTTTACATGTTGACTTAGAATGTATGATCATGCAACAACTTTTGTCTATACATAATTAATTTTCAACTTCAGTTAGAATCGGAATACGCATTGAAAACGGGGAAAAAAATCATTTGTTTACGTTGTAAAAATGACGCGTGCTGCCGGTAACTACGGCTTCTGTTTCAGACAAAAAGAACTGATTAAAGAAAAGTTGTCTCAACATTTTTTTTCCATTTACAAGTATGTTTTAATCTATGTAAAGTATTGAAAGCATATAATTATCAAGTATCTCAACACGTTCCATATATGACACTTATTCTACATGTATATTGTGTGTGATGGCTAATATGACTTACTAAGTGTAAGCCTATGAAGACAATAAAAGTGGGAAGTGTATATAACGCATGGTCTAGAAACAAAGTGGCCAAACACATTGAGTTGTGCAATGTGATAAACAAATTCACAAACGTTTCTCTTTTTTATCTTTGTTAATGCATATATCACTTTATGAAAACATTTGGAAAGGGGTATTCGTCTCGTGAATATTCCCTTTTACAGAAAGGTTTGTCCCTTGGTTGAGAGAAGGTGTTTAGCCCCATACCCATTTGTACCGGTCACATTCCGGTAATAGATATTTCCTGGTGTCTATAAATAATGCCGAGATGCCAACAAATGTAGATCACACTTCTTTCAGTATTAGTAATACTATTATATTTCCAATTTTTGCACATTAAACAAACTTCAAAACATAGATTATCGAGGATTGGAAAACAAGCCTAGAGCTTCTACTAATTCCTCTCCTCTAGTGGACATTACGGCACCTTTGCACATGTTAATGAGGATAGATGGACGTTTCAGTAGTACACTGTGTGCCATGTCTGGTTCTCTAACACGACACATTCTAAGGCTCTTGTTGTAAACTGTATTCTTGCACACAAAGATTTTACTTTTGCGAAACTAAATATCAGACTCTACTTGCGTTTATCATAAACAGAATTATGATCCGGACCACAGTTCCGGACAACGGACATTCGGTTTCAGGGCAAATTTTCTTTATTATCACATTATTAACAGGATTATATGCAGAAAAGAGCAATGATGCGGCGCAACCCTATTAGACAAAACACAATTCCATAACAGTTTGAGCAAGGCGTTTATATACCTAAAACGCATCGTTTTCTGCATGTCGTGAATACTGATATAGGAATTGTAGTGTCCTAGATCAATCCTTATCCTGATGATAGACGTGCCTTATAATCACCGGATGTTGCCATGTTTGAGTCTGCGCAGGAGTGGAAATAAAAACCAGTGAAGGATCATGGTGTTTCACGTCGTCTGTCACTTCATTATACTAAGTATTTAGTTGTTCAGTACCTAACATATGTCACAGGAATTACGAACCATTGATATTGAGTAAGTACCTAACATATGTCACAGGAATTACGAACCATTGATATTGAGCAAGTACCTAACATATGTCACAGGAACTTTGTAAGGTCATGTAATCTTTTTATCAGAATTTGACAATCAATCAAACAAAATGTCACTGCGGTAAGAAATTGACTTATTATGGATGTTTTACATAATTTGTTTGGTTCATTTTAACATCATTTTAAACATTGACATTAGGTAGCTGAAGTTGTATCTTGCTTGAAGCTAATTTAATCTAATTAACATGTTGACTAGCTATTACTTCCCGGTACCGTTTTTGTGTCGCCTGCGAAAAGCTTGTGACACATAGGTATTGCTATGTCGGCGTCGTCGGCGCAGAGGTTTTCGTGCGATAACTTGAGTTTCCTTGGGCCGATCTAACTCAAACTTCATGCAGTGCTTCCTTACCAAAAGTGCTTGCTTGGGATTGCTTTTCAGGTCCGCAGGTCAAAGGTCAAGGTCACTGTTACTATAAATAGAAAATATGTTTTCGTGCGATAACTTGAGTTTCCTTGGGCCGATCTAACTCAAACTTCATGCAGTGCTTCCTTACCAAAAGTGCTTGCTTGGGATTGCTTTTCAGGTCCGCAGGTCAAAGGTCAAGGTCACTGTTACTATAAATAGAAAATCTGTTTTCGTGCGATAACTTGAGTTTCCCGAGGCCGATCAAACTCGAACTCTCATGCACTGCTTCCGTACCAAAAGTGCTTGCTTTGGATTGCTTTTGAGGTCCGAAGGTCAAAGGTCAAGGTCACTGTTACTATAGATAGAAAATCTGTTTTTGTGCGATAACTTGAGTTTCTTTGGGCCGATCAAACTCAAACTTCATTCAGTGCTAAGCACAATCTCCCAGCTTCCTGCGCAGGCGACACATCCACTTCCGTGGAATTCTTGTTTATTACTGTGACGGCAGTTCTCGAGCAGGTGGCCGTGTACGTATGGCTGGGTCTGTTTACTAGCTATTCCTGTCTTTATCGCGGTCTATTTTGTTTATGATTTAATTCACAAACAACTGCTTACACCATGTATATTAAATATGTTTATTAGTAAAGTGGCATTGTTTATCTAAATGTATATCCGTGTGTGTTAAATGATAAGATAGTAAAGCCAAAGCCAGGGAAATTCTGTCAAATTATTCCATAACAATTTCTATTTCTGTGTGTGTTTTGCTAGACAGCCCACCAATAACATGTGTGTGTGTGTTTCAGGCTGTCTGCTGGGCCATGGCTGTGTGGTGAAGGCGGTGTGTGGCCCCTGTAAACACGCTAGTAAACAGGCGTGTATCAAATCAAGCACCATGTTTGCCGTGTGTAACGGTGACATCTACACCATCCGAAGGTGTATCAGCAACAGTCAGTACGATGACGTCACCGGCACGTGTAAAACCAGCTCAGTTGCAATGACAAAATGAAATCAATAACTGTTAAGGAATAGGTTCAAATATTCTTTAGTTTACACTATAGGTTTTGGCTGAAAATCGGCATTATTTTGATGGTTTGAGTCTCTTGTATATGTATGTATCACATGCCAGTAAAGCAGATAAAAAGCCATGCTAAATTGACAACACACGAGGTCAATCTCCGAATCAAAACAACAGGGCCCGTATAGCGTATCCGTGTCCATACATTAGCATGTAGTTTGTTCTCAAACCAACTTGTAACTCATTAAAATCAATTCAAACGATTAAAAAGTCAAATGAAAACATTGAAAACAATATTCGGCTTAAAGTATCTTTCAAGTTCTTCATACTCATTGACAAAATGAGATTGTATTAGTAAGTTTTAACCGGAACAAGAAATCAGACTTGAATAAAACAAAAATCCATGCTTGAGCATGAGAACAGTTTCATGAATACGAGCCCAGGACCTGGACTTAAAAAAAAGGTAAAGTAACCGGAACTAACCGAGACGAGTATTGGGCTATTTCCCGCTCGTGTGCGTCGTCCAGCAGATCATGCTATTATTCCTGGAATATGGCTTTTGTACAAGCTAACTCGAAAATAAGGGAGCGGTTTGAATTCATCGTTGGTAATTATTGTCGCATGGGGTGGACAAGGAGCCCTATTGATTTTGACGGTTGTATGATAGACCGTTGACTTTAAATAAATTTATGCTGCAATTAATCCTTATCAACATTTATTTATATATAGTCTGTCTGTAGATTGATGGTGTGTAATGGTGATACTACATTGAGGTATGTCGTCTGTTACAGTAGGTTGATGGTGTGTAATGGTGATACTACATTGATGTATGTCGTCTGCTACAGTAGGTTGATGGTGTGTCATGGTGATACTACATTGAGGTATGTC